ACTACAAAATAAATTTCAGACTGGACTGTTGCTTCAAAGTGGCTTAAAGTTCAAGTGCATGAAGTTCGTATTAAAAGCCGTATTTTTGACTGGACTCCACTTGCAGTTACAAAGGCGAAAATTTGTGGAATGCAGTATTTATGACCTGGCTAGCCGGCCTTTCCCAGTCTCCGTCTTACTATACTGCATATATGTAGTATAGCTATAGCCAGCCAGGTATACACCCATTCCAGTCTTTCTTGGAAGGCTTAAAAGTATTCTATTTATATATGTGAAGGGCCTTCAGACACTTCAGTTTGACTTTACAATGCCTGAGTGAGTACATGTAGTTCAAGAAGCACAAAGTTGTGTAGTTTTGTATAGGAGTTTGGTGAAAATGTGTTTATTACCAATGAAGAGATATTTTATTGCAAGTTGTGTGACATGAAATTTAAGGCAGAAAAGCGATTTACTGTGCAACAGCATTGTAAAACTTCTAAACATGTTATATGTTTAAGCAGATTATCTAAAAAAGGATAGTAGACAAAGTTTGTTGTTTAACAACAGTTCCACTAATTCTTCTTCTTCTTCTTCTTCAACGAACAATGGGTCACAATTTTCAAAGGATTTATATCAATGGATGGTTTCTTCTAATATTCCATTAGAGAAATTGCATAATCAGCACTTCAGAAAATAGTTTGCAGACATACACTTGTCATCCTATCCCAAGTGAATCGACGTTAAGAAAAAATTATCTGTCTATATGTNATGATGATGATGATGTTATGAAGATGTGTTAAATACGATTCAAACATGTCTTGCTGACAAGATATGGGTTTTCTTGGATGAGACTTCTGACATAGATGGACGGTATATCGCGAATATTATAGTTGGGAACCTGAAACAAGATCAACCTGGAGAGATATTTCTTCTTGACTGTGAAGTTCTTGAAAGAGCAATCATTCGACTATAGCTGTCCTATTTGACAATGCCATGACCTTGTTATGGCCAAATGGAATACAGCGAAATAATGTCCTTCTCCCAGTAACAGATGCTGCTCCATACATGAAGAAGGCTGCCAAAGGACTTCAAATGCTCTAACTGAAAATTACTTGCTTCACTCATGCATTGCTTAGAGTGGCTGAAGAAGTTTGAGGAAATTTTCCGGGTGTAGATAGGCTAATTTCAAACAGAAAGAAAATATTCATCAAGGCCCCTCTTTGAGTGCAGAAATTTAAAAAAGAAGTTCCTCTACTGCCACCTCCTCCACAGTCTATCATCACACGGTGGGGTACATGGTTGGATGCTGTGGCATATTATTGTGAAAATTACACAACCATTGAGAAAGTGTTTAATGGTGTTGACAGTAGCGAGTCAACATCAATTAAAGCTGTCAAAGACTTATTCTCTACCACAAAATCTGACATATAAAGTCAAACTTCTGTTCAATTTCAAGTGCAATAACTCGCCTTGAAGTTGTAGGGACTGAACTCCGTGATGCGTTAAACACCGTAAAAAGCATTGAGAATGAACTAAACCGATCTCATGGTGAAGTAAGCAACAAGATTAAAACCAAAATAGAAAGTGCTCTTCATCGGAATGCTGGTTATTCAACAATATGCAAGATTGCACATATACTTTCCGGTAAACCAGCAACAT